CTTTATTGTTTATTGCTGGTTTATGACCTTAATAAAGTGTAATTATGTATTACCAGCAGGGTGTTTTTAACTGTGACTATTGTATAAAAACAAATCTTGATATCCTTCAGAAGCACATGAAGTTTGCAAGTCTCCACCCTGCCCATTTTTGTAAAACTGCAGTCATCTTGGACCTTTTAAACACAAAATTTTAAACTCAACCAAGCTGTGATACGTGGAATGGTTACTGTTTATACTGTGGTATGTTTCTGATTACAGCAGACAATGCTTTCTTTTCCAGTTGTCTTTGAGAATAAAGGAAAAACAAATCTTCAGATGCAATGGTTTTGTGTAGCATCTCGTCTCTCGTGTTTTGTAAATACTGGAGGAGCTTTGACCAATTTGACATAGAGCTGGAATGTAACGTTGCTTACAAACATTGCTATTCAACTCCTGCTTAAGGTGTTCTAGTTTTCTGTGAGCACACTAAAAGCAAAAAATAAATGTGAATAAAATGTACAAATTTGTTGTGTTTTTTTATGTTCTGAGGCTGACTTCTAGGTCTTAGGTTAATTTTTAGGAAGGCCTTGCATGCCATCAAAAGTACATTTGGCTGTGGTTTTTGATATGAAGTTTTCAAGCTCTGAAATTCATAATCAGTGTCAAATTACATATGTAGGAAGATCTTATACTGTGTCAGTTGTTACCATTTATCTGCTTTTAATTTGCATTTAAAACTGAAAATTACTTTTACTGTAGTTATAGCATGCCAGAATAAGTCACTTAATGCAAACGTGGCTTGACCCTAAGACTATTTCAAATGTCTTATGAGACTATTTCATAAACTGTTTTCTTGTCATTGCAGGTCCAGAAACTTACATTTTATAATCAGTAAGAGTGTTGAGTTCAGACTGCACATAAGTCATGAAAAGACGGCCAAACATGTTTAAATGTTGATGGTTTATATAGAATAAGCCTCAGCGTTTGGCTCGAAATGTGTGCCATACTTTATGGACAGGTTTCTGTAAGGAAGTAATGGTGTTGAGTGGACATGTAGTCAGTTTTGGACCATTAGCATAGCTGCAAGCTTTTTTTTTTTAAATCAAAGTGTTAGCATTTTGTTAATCAAATGAAAAGATAATTCTTTTTATATTAATCCTTACTAGTTTACTTTCTGCTTATTTTCCATCTCATAACTGGATATTTTTACTTCACTGGACCCTAAACTGATTTTTTTTTTTTTTTACCATTGCTTTATTAAATGCAAAATAGTCCACCTGTTGTGCTCTTGAGCAGGGTGCAGGGTGGAGTTCAGGGTAAAGTTGAACCATATCTGTGGTGGCACCTCAATATTACATCATATTAAAAAAGGATAACAGCATTAGCTTTTCGATAATGCTCCTCTAATCGGAATAATGGATCAAAATTAATGTTCCTTTTCTTTCTAAACATCCTCCTTGCTAATGACACCAAGTAACGTTTGAAAGAGTCAACTTGGTCCTGAGTTTCTTGAGTTTTTGGAAGATTAAAGTCAAACCTGGTAACCAAAGGACTGCTTTGTGGGTCTTTCCCGCTTTAACCAACTTGTTCGCAACCCCTAGTTGGCCAAATATGGTGCCTGGTATGTAGTAGGACTCAACTGAAATGGGTTTTTTTTAAAAAAATAACTCCTGAACTGAGTAGTTAAAAAAACTGTGTAGAAAAGTATTCTATATTGCTAGGTTTGTTCTTTTAACCGCTGAGATTTATTAAGATGCATTATTTTGATTTTAATCACTGCCTAAAACACTTTGGGTGGTTTGATGGAGCGGTGGATTTTCCTCCAAGTGGCTAAATGCAATTTGACATACTTTTCATCCAAAGTTTTGTACATCCTGTTGTTTTCTAATGGAAAAAAAAATGTTAATATGGCTTTTTTGTACTACTAAAAATAGCTTTGAGATTAAGGAAAATAAATAACTCTTGTACAGTTGAGAATCGTGTTATTAAGTCTGTATTGGCAGTGTGTACAGTGGCATTTGCTGTGATTATGAACACTTACTCTGGATTATAATAATCATTTGGTCCAATTCCTATTGCTTGTAAAATAAAGTTTTACCAGTTGATATAATCAAGCCTGCTAAAGTAGGGTGTTTTACAAATTTTATTTTTTAATTAAAGTTTTAGGGGAAAAATTGTTAAAGGTGTTACTATCACTCAGTTTAGGATTTAAAGGAGACATGCTTGATTCTGTACTTAGAATGTAAAGCCTTACTCATTGAGTTATTGGCTAAGGCAAAACTTAGCAAATCATCCATGTTTTTTCCAAATATGGATATAATTTTAACTGAGCCTTGCCGATCAGGTTTAGGAGATGGGGTGCAGTGCTTTCTGGACTCTTGTGTTAGTTTAGTTCCTTGAGACAGGCTCATGGTATCATTCAGGTTGGTCTTGAACTAGCACCCCTCTTGCTTGTGCTAGGATTACAGTAGTGTGCCACCAAGCACAGGTGAACTCCCCTTAAACAGATCCCTTAGAAGTTGGTTGGAGTGGGGTGTATGTAGTTCCATGTACTTTGAACATGCTAAAAATTGGCTAAATACGTGGGCTGTTCTATTTCACCTTTTGAAAAGAATCACTATAGCTTGAACATTGTCCCCGCTCTGCTTCTCAGCCAGGTGATAGTACTCAAAGCAGGGTGTAGCGAAAAAATCCACAGATCATTCAGTTCTTCCTGGGAATCTGAGTCGCAGTGCTCGATATTATGCCCAAGAATGCCATTCTGAAAACGAGAAGGAAAAATGCCATGTCAATATCAACAGAGTTCATTTAGAGCTCTTTGTGTTCTTAATGGTTTTTTTTTTTTGAGTATTAAATAAGGGCATAATTGATTAAAACCAATGGGGTTACCTTTTCCCCTTCCATTTCCCCTTTAGTTACAGGAGAAGCATGAGCCATAAAATCAACTTTCACAGCTACATGTCTGCGGGTTTTGTTTTGTTTTAGTTGTAGGGAGGTCAGGGAAAAACTGGAGCAATTTTTGTTCATGATTTCTTCATCCTCGAAAGCCTTTTTAAAATCCTCTTTCCAGGACACAGATTGGAAACATGTCGTTGTTTATACTTACGGTTCTTGTAATCCAAATGGTAATTCCTGGTTTGAGCTGCCTAATGAACTAACAGCTTTCCCTCCAGAATGGAAGAGTTAGAATCATTTGGGAAACTATTTTAGATGATCGCTATTTCTATGACGAAGTTGTAAAAATATTTTGGATTTTAGGAGCATCTAGTAAGAAGTTCAGGACCCCCAAATAGAATCTCATTGCCTATCTTTTTTGTTTGTTGTTTTGGTTTGGTTTTGATTTTTCAAGACAGGGTGTCTCTGTGTAGCCCTGACTGTCCTAGAACTCCCTCTGTAGACCAGGCTAGCTTTAAATTGAGAGATTTCCCCACTTCAAAGAGGCGTGGTTAAAAGCATGCCCCACCTCTGCCTGGTTCATTTGCATATCTTAACTCACATCTTGGAGAAGTGCACTGTGAACTTTATGTATTGAAAACGTGAAGAACCACTCTTTTAAACATACTTACTGAGACCTCAATGTTCAAAAATAAGACGGCTAGCACTCTGTGGAATTTGGAGGTAATTATAGGTTCTAACGCCACATTACAACGATAGCAACCTTGAAGCAACACAATATGAGAATACCACATAATCAGTTTGTTTCTGTCCCTGAAAGGCTAAATGGAGTTTAAATACACAGCAAAATGGCGTGGTATGCTCCTGGACATACAAGGAGGAAAAAGAAGTAAAATCATCTCTATAGTAAACAAGTTTAGGCTGAAGGATTCTGTTGAAAGATTCTGTTGCTGAGGCAGCTAAATTGATGTTTGCGTTGACTACATTGTACTCAGCAACACTGGCCCACGTTGAGCACATTCAAGAGAGCATGAGCCCCAGCAATCCTTTCTGGTGACAAGGCATACTGGCTCATCCTTACGTTCATTTGCTAGAACTCTGAACACTCAAGAGCTGGAATTCAGGAATGCCACCACATCAGACTCTTTTAAAGGTGTGCTAGAATCTTGACTCCTACTCTTCCTCACATGCCTTTCCTTCCGCTCATTTCTCCAAATCTAGTCACCCCAACGTGCCAAGGTGAAACAAAGTACCTTCACTTCCTGCAAATAATAAAATCTAAGTACGCTCACGTCCCTTATAAAAAACAGAGTAGCACCTGCACATAATCACACGCACGCATGCACGAACACACACCACACACACACACACACACACACTTATGGAATCGGGAATATGTAAGTGGAAAAATTCTTACTCCAGGTGTCTGTGAACTTTGTTTCGACATGGTAAGGATAGTCTGCTGAGGCAATCAAATTAATGATACTAAGAAGGAGATGTAAATGCCCTCTTCTGTCTCCTATCTTCTCCTTTTGAGATGGGTGTTTCTCGCTGTAGCTCAGTCTAGTCTCGGACCTACAATTCTCCATTAGGCTCCTTAAAGCTAGATTTCATTATTTCCCCTATTTTAACGCCATAAGATTGCTTTTAAAACTGGCTGTCTTTCTTTTTAATTTCCAGATCTAAGTAATTAGCAAAGGTTCTGAGGTTGGTATTAGAAAGTGCCTTAGAAGGGTAGAGATGACAGGCTAACCTGGAGGATTTAAGGTTTCCTGTTCCTCAGATAATTTGGAAAATGTTGATATATATATATATATCATGTGTGGACATCTTTCTGTACTCCATAAAAAATGCAGTGTAACAAAGCACATACACTGTACCAGGTATCACAAGTAATTTGGAAAGAATTTCATCAGGGTGTGTGTGTGTGTATGTGTGTGTGTGTGTGTGTGTGTGTGTGTATAGCAGGTGCTACTCTGTTTTCTATAAGGAATTTGAGTATACTTAGATTTTTGTCATTTGCGGGAAGTGAGGGAGATTTATGCATAAAATTAGCATAGACTTATTTATTTATTTATTTATTTTAATTAATTAATTTTTTTGGTGTTTGATGTGGAGAAGTCTTCCATGATATAATTTCAGATAAATGAAAATGAGATGCATGGCATTTTTCTTACCCTTTAATGACTATAATGTAATTATATTTAAATGTTACTCAAATCCATCAACATAATGCCTTCTTGTGTATACTAAGAAAAATGGAATGTACAAGCACTGGGAGAAGTCTTTAGCCTCCAGAGACATGTATGTTGCATATGGTGAGGCAGCATACTTTAAACAAGCAGTATCGCTGACCTGGCAATATGTTAAAAGGTTCACTATGAATAGGGGAGGTCACAGACATTGGCAGTGTTCAAAAAGACTAAGAATATTCTAGCACCTGGTATCTCCCATGTCAAGACTAGCTAGTGTGAAGAAGTTTGGGAAGGTTGAGTTCAACTATGAAATAACATTTCTTACTAAATATAAATACCAACTGAAGTAAATTGTTTTAATGTCTTTAATGAACTGCCAAACATTGGATGGGTACAATAGATAAATTTAAGAAGGATTTTGAGATATCTGGTAAGGTGTCTCCAAGTCAACTTATGGACTTAATCAGGCTACATTATAAAATATTAATTATTAAGTGGAAAATTAATAATATATGTCTTAGAATTTTTCTGCTCTGAACAGACACCTTGACTAAAGCAACTCTTATAACGACAACATTTAATTGGGGCTGGCTTACAGGTTCAGAGGTTCAGTCTATTATCATCAATGTGGGAACATGATGGATTCTAAGCAGGAGGAGCTGACAGTTCTACATCTTCATCTGAAGATGAAGCAGAATACTGGCTTCCAGGCAGCTAGGATGAGGGTCTTAAAGCCCACACGCACAGTGACACACCTACTCCGACAAGGCCACATCTTCTAATTGTGCCACTCCCTAGGCCAAGC